TGTTTACCTAATTTCCCTCTGGGATCAATAAAGTATTTTTGAATTGAATTGAATAAATGCTAACGCTTGATCTACTCATGCTAAGGCTAGTTGTGCTATAGCTAATCTTAATCCTACTACTGTTAATGATAGTTCTGGTACTGCTAAAATTGATTTTACTAACGCTAATGCTATTTCTACTCATGCTAACGTTGCTTCCGCTAATGCTAATCTTAATTTCACTGCTGCTAATGCTATTTCTGCTGATGTTATTGATGCTAATGCTTGTTCTGCTCGTGTTAATGCCACTTCTGCTAATGCTAATCTTAATTCCACTATTGCTAATGCTGGTTCTACTCTTGCTAATGATGCTACCACTGATGCCAGTTCTCCTATAGCTAATGCTAATTGTGCTACTGCTAAACCTGCTAATTTACAGAAACTGATTTAAGTTTGGTGTGGTAGTAGCTGAGAGTCATTCTCTGCAAAACTATGAGACTGAACAAGATCTTTGTACAAAACTTTAGCAACAATTGTTGGAGTATGTGATACGTATATATTATTTTAAGGAGTGCTACTTAATGTAGCACTGAAAACACATTTTTAGATTTCATCAGATCAGATAATCTGTTCCTGGACCAGTTCCTCTGAGCTTCAGCAGCTCAGACAGAAAAAAACAAACATCCCAGTTTCTCCTTTGTTTCAGAGCCAGAATCCCTCCGACTCCTCTCCTCTTCATTACCAGTTCCCGGTAAGACCCTTGAAGTCTCTGCCTGACCTCAGGTGTCAGCCAAATGCCTCACATCCACCACCGGCTCCTCTCCCGCCGCGCCGCGGTGCGCCGGCTTCCCTCATGAAAACACGACGCCACCGGCTGCTTGTTTTGTCGAGTCGTCTCWCGAGGAGCGGCGGGCATGTGTTTCACTCCCTGCAGCTCCTGTTTTGGTCTGACCTGCATTCCAGAGACGAGCGGAGCACGGTCCTGATGGAGCRGGTTTGTATCAAAGGTTCAGATTGAACTGGACTGAACTGCTCTTGTGTGTAAACTAGGGCTGTGTATTGGCAAGAATTTGGCGATACGATACATATCATGACAGAGGGGTCACGATACGATATATCCYGATATATCCCGATATATTGCGATACTGTAAGCAAGGCGATATATTGTGATATATTGCGATACTGTAAGCAAGACGATATATTGTGATATATTGCGATACTGTAAGCAAGGCGATATATTGCGATTTTTTTGTCCAAAAATTCTATAAAATACCTGCCTTCTGTAACGTTGGAAAAAAGAGCGCACAAGACACGTAATTTGTCTTAAAATACAGACATTCTGA